GCGGATTGTATAGTCGGAGTAACCATTAGCCCTAAGAGCTTGGTGTACGTGCTTGAGTTCACTGCTTATGTGTTCCTGGTCGGATATGCATTGGGCTCTATGATACAGAGTCTTGATGAGAGAATTCTTCTGTGATGGATGGTGGTGGGAATCCGGTTTCAGATAAGCATCCGTATGGGTAGCTTTCCTGTAGACAGAGTGGCTCATTGAACCATCAGGTCTCTTTTTAATTAGGACATCCAAAAAAGGTATCTTGCCATCTATTTCGACTTCCATGGTAAATCTGATGGCTGGGTGTATGGAATTGATGTGGTCGAAGAATTTGTCTAGAGCAGGCCGGCCATGTGGCCAGATGACAAAAGTGTCATCCACGTACCTCTTCCATAAGGTTGGGCGCAGAGTGGCAGTCTGGATGGCGTCAGTCTCAAATTTCTCCATGAAAATGTTAGCTATAACTGGAGAAAGGGGGGAGCCCATTGGGGTGCCCTCAGTTTGTTTGTAGAAAGTTCCATTCCAAGTGAAGTATGTATTGGTTAAACAGTGTCTCACCAGGGGGGGTACCTCAGTGTTTAGTCCTTGATGAACCAAGTCTTCAATGATTGCAATGGTGTCAGGTACAGGAACCTTGGTGAATAAGGAAACTACATCAAAACTGACAAGCAGGTCGTCTGGGGACAGGGAAATACCCTTGATTGTTGATACCAGGTGAGTAGAATTTTGTACCGCAGAGGTGGTCTTTCCAGTGAAAGGACGCAGGATTTCAGACAAAAAACGAGCTAGTTTGTAGGTGGGGGAGCTGATAGTAGAGACTATGGGACGAAGAGGTGTATCAACTTTATGTATTTTTGGTAAGCCGTATAATCTTGGTGGCCTGGCAGCAGAAGGTTTCAACGAAAACTGTTTAGATTGATCAATTAATGCGGTTGAATCAGAAATTATTTTGTTGGTTTGTGTGACGAGGCTGTTGGTGGGATCTCTTTTTATTTTTGTATAACTACCATCGTCGAGTAATTCTTTAATTTTGTTGTTGTATTCTATTTTATCCATGATAACAGTAGCATTGCCTTTGTCAGCTGAGAGAACTACAATATCATTCCTCTTTTTTAATTTATATAATTCAAAACGCTCATCTTTGCTGAGGTTGCTAGCTGGCATCTTAGCGTTTTTGAGGGTTGCAGCGATTTCAGATCTTGCTACGTCTGCAGCGATGTGACCCAGGCCCCTGAGAGCAACGTCTACTTGGGCAATTATATCATTAACTGGTATGTGTTTAGGTGTGACTGCAAAGTTTAGACCTTTAGCTAAAACGGATTTCAGACCATCGGAAATAGAACTGTTACTGCGATTAATTACGACTTTATTAACGTCTAACTTTTTGGTGTGTGGGTCCGGTCTTTTGTTTAAGAGGAGGTTAAATTTGGAAATCAGGTTTTCCTTACATTTGGTCGACATAGTAGCAGCTGAAGAGGCAGTCATATTGTCTACATGTTCCCAATCCGATGTGGACATTATTGCCGTCAATGATAAGTGTGATTTGTAGAGTGTCTTGTCTAACTGATCTAGTTCTGTGCGTATAAGTCTGATTTTTTCTGAGATAAGAGCTAAGCTAGTTTTGAAAAGAATTCGTTTCGCATTAGAAGAAGTTACAGTAGCAGAGGTGAGTGTAAATGCGATTGGTATTACCCCAGAGTCGCGGCATCTCTTCAGGAAGGTGAGAGACTCGATCAGCTGAGCTTTCTTATCCCGGAGTTTGTTGAAAGATCTTAAAGTTATGTGAAAACCCTCCCCGTAGAGGCGATTAAATTTTGATTTAAAGCTTTCGTGACTGCAGTAATTCATATTCTTAGTTTTTTCGGTAAAGTCACGTTGAAGAGAAACAACAAAATAACAAAATATATATAAAACAATAAAAAATTCTCACGACGTTTCGACCATAACTCAAACGGTCATCATCAGGTGTGTCGGTTTGCATAAATTTATTTTGAAAACGGCATATTTATTTATATATATAAAAATAACGTTTGCGTCACGCGCAACGATGGCAGTTTGCCAGGACTAGTCCATCTATTTTTTGAAAAGAGGAGGGGGGAGACGAAATTTGTTTTTATGTATGCTGTCTGAAAGGCACTGTAAGCGTGAACAATCAATCAAGAACTGAAATGATTTATCAAATCTTTCCAATGATTGCTAAGATAGAATCCATCTTCTCGGTTGAAATTGTCTCTGTGTTTGTATATGTGGATAGCCTCATGAACGAATCTCTCATGGAAGCCAGATGGCTTACAAAGAACCTCCGTCTTGGAAAAGTCAATGGCATGTGAGCCTACTGAATTAGAACAATGATCTGCTACGGCCGAGGTGTTGGTCCTACCGTGTTTAAGGTCTGCTTTATGTTCACGAATGCGGTCCGAGATATGGCGTTTGGTTTCTCCAATGTAACTACTACCACAGAGGCAACTTAGTTTGTAGACACCAGGGTATTGTATGTCCGGAATCACATCTTTTACAGACGGAACCAGATCACGGATTTTATGTAATGTGTTGAAACGGACCTGGATCTTGTGTTTATTCAAGATTTTGGAGATCTTTTTTGTGATCCCAGCAATGTAGGGTAAAGTGATGGTTTTGAAAGGCTCCTCAAGAGGGTTCTTCTTCATGGTTTGAGTGATAGCTTTGCGGATTGTATAGTCGGAGTAACCATTAGCCCTAAGAGCTTGGTGTACGTGCTTGAGTTCACTGCTTATGTGTTCCTGGTCGGATATGCATTGGGCTCTATGATACAGAGTCTTGATGAGAGAATTCTTCTGTGATGGATGGTGGTGGGAATCCGGTTTCAGATAAGCATCCGTATGGGTAGCTTTCCTGTAGACAGAGTGGCTCATTGAACCATCAGGTCTCTTTTTAATTAGGACATCCAAAAAAGGTATCTTGCCATCTATTTCGACTTCCATGGTAAATCTGATGGCTGGGTGTATGGAATTGATGTGGTCGAAGAATTTGTCTAGAGCAGGCCGGCCATGTGGCCAGATGACAAAAGTGTCATCCACGTACCTCTTCCATAAGGTTGGGCGCAGAGTGGCAGTCTGGATGGCGTCAGTCTCAAATTTCTCCATGAAAATGTTAGCTATAACTGGAGAAAGGGGGGAGCCCATTGGGGTGCCCTCAGTTTGTTTGTAGAAAGTTCCATTCCAAGTGAAGTATGTATTGGTTAAACAGTGTCTCACCAGGGGGGGTACCTCAGTGTTTAGTCCTTGATGAACCAAGTCTTCAATGATTGCAATGGTGTCAGGTACAGGAACCTTGGTGAATAAGGAAACTACATCAAAACTGACAAGCAGGTCGTCTGGGGACAGGGAAATACCCTTGATTGTTGATACCAGGTGAGTAGAATTTTGTACCGCAGAGGTGGTCTTTCCAGTGAAAGGACGCAGGATTTCAGACAAAAAACGAGCTAGTTTGTAGGTGGGGGAGCTGATAGTAGAGACTATGGGACGAAGAGGTGTATCAACTTTATGTATTTTTGGTAAGCCGTATAATCTTGGTGGCCTGGCAGCAGAAGGTTTCAACGAAAACTGTTTAGATTGATCAATTAATGTTCTTTGTAAGCCATCTGGCTTCCATGAGAGATTCGTTCATGAGGCTATCCACATATACAAACACAGAGACAATTTCAACCGAGAAGATGGATTCTATCTTAGCAATCATTGGAAAGATTTGATAAATCATTTCAGTTCTTGATTGATTGTTCACGCTTACAGTGCCTTTCAGACAGCATACATAAAAACAAATTTCGTCTCCCCCCTCCTCTTTTCAAAAAATAGATGGACTAGTCCTGGCAAACTGCCATCGTTGCGCGTGACGCAAACGTTATTTTTATATATATAAATAAATATGCCGTTTTCAAAATAAATTTATGCAAACCGACACACCTGATGATGACCGTTTGAGTTATGGTCGAAACGTCGTGAGAATTTTTTATTGTTTTATATATATTTTGTTATTTTGTTGTTTCTCTTCAACGTGACTTTACCGAAAAAACTAAGAATAGTGATACACTTATTCATGGAAATGTTTATTACAAGTCACGTGCTCCGGTTAATCTGAAATCCATGTGATCGCCCCTACGGTACAGTAGTTGCATATCTTTACAACAGTGGGCGGAGTTTGATGTTGATTGGCGTGGCTCTGCTTCTGTCCACTTAGTGGGCCGAGTCTTCTGCGCGGGAGCAGGAAAGTTATCCCTGAGCCATGTGCATCGTTCGGTCGATCGTTAGCATTCGTTCTAAATCAAATACTTTTGTAACAAAAAACAAGATCAATACATTCTTTACAAAAAAAATGTCAAATTTTTTATTTAAAGCTTTCGTGACTGCAGTAATTCATATTCTTAGCTCTTTCGGTAAAGTCACGTTGAAGGTAAACAATAAAATAATAAAATATATAAAACAATAAAAATTCTCACTATTCCCCCCTATGTTCACTCGTGATAATTTTTATCGTTTTATATATATTTTATTATTTTATTGTTTCCCTTCAACGTGACTTTACCGAAAGAGCTAAGAATATAAAAAAAAATGTTCATTAACAAACTCAATTTCCTTAACTTAAACATAATGTATATCTATATTAGTGGTTTTTGGCAAAGAGATCCACGTAAAATGGATATTTTTGGATGGTCCGCAATTTGTAATTAGCCACGGCTGTCCTCGGCATTAGCACGGATAATCAAGAGGCTACTGTATTGTAAAATGTTACCATTTATCAATGTTGATACAGTAAAATGCAATGTTAATGGGGGAGAACATACAAACTCCACACGCTCTCTTATACTCACTCTTATATTCACTCACTCAACCTCTTGCATACTCACACTGCGGAATATCAGGCGAACATACAGAATCCACATGCTCTGATACTCGCGCACACACACACACGCTCTTACCAAATAAATACATTAATTTTAAAAATGTAAAGGTGCAGCCCTGGAATTGCTTGCTCACGTCACTGTTGGTGGAAGGGGCCTCCAGTAGAAGGAGCTCTAGTAGGAAAGCCGTGATCCAGCAGTACATTGAACATCGCTGTAAATAGAAATGTGTGGCACCCATGAAATCATAGAAGTCATGTTACCGGCTTCCTGGACTACCTGGGACAGCTTTCCCTGACACCACCCACCGGCTCGCGGCTGACGACGCACTGACAAACCAGAGTGACTATGCCAATATAGTAAACCTTCTCTATTCACGAGGGTTACAGCCTTGTGTTGCAGTCGAAACGTCGCAAGAATTTTATTGTTTTATATTTATATCTTATTGTTTCCCTTCAACGTGACTTTACCGAAAGAACCAAGAATATGTAGAAATCTTGTTCACAGTAAAAATGTGATAAGTTATTGATAAGAGAACACAGCACTGGGTGGCGATAGCCGCAACACTTTCCCCGATTGCATTCGCCTCATTCTTGATGGATCTCACAGTCCACGCCAAAATGTCGGCCTATCACAGACGTGCTCTCGAGTGCTAAAATGATAACTGTGCGTTGTTGTTATCAAACACCTGCATCTCCCGATGAGTCGTCCACCTGAATTCCTCACCATCTCCATTGTCATCAAATCATCATGAAAGGTAATCAAAACGAATTGTCATTCATATTTTATTATTTATTGTAGTCAGTGGTATTAAACATTTACTATTCCCCCCTATGTTCACTCGTGCCAGGAACGTAACCCCATTTTTCCTGGTCAACAAGGTTTCTGCATTCGCGCGCGTTTTCAAGAACATAACCCTTGTGGTTTGAGAGGGTTTACTGTCCATATTTTATCCTGGAAGAAGCCAGTGTTATTGACGAATGCGTCCATGTATTTGTTGTTGTGCTTGTGTACCACTGCCAAAGTAGAAACACCAAGTCATTCGCTGTGCGCTGTGTACATGAGAGCAAACAGTCGGTGCGGTAGACCAACATTGTTAACATGGGTGAGGGAATGAATCTGACTGCTCACCCTTCATCTAGATGAATCATCGATTGTGCATTTCATATAGTGTACCGTCAAAATACACGACTGCATTCTTCTTCAGGGTCATTTTCAATGACGCGACAACTGGGTGGGATCGTTTTGCATTATTTCACCGATTTCAGGCTCACAGCCTTGCAGGTCAATGCCGCGCAAAGAACACATTGGCAGTTCAAACGTCTTTTGTGCATTTCATGTCGCCTTGGGTCTCATAAAGCCATCCTCACTGTCGATGTGATGGTAATGTCTGTCACTAATGGCTTCTCTAGGCCAGTGGTTCGCAACCGGGGGGGGGTACGTGAGGTGATTTATAAATGTGTGAAATTATAGCAAACATGAGTCACTGGTGAATAATCACGTATGAATCTGCCACGCTAACATCGAAGTCCATATCGTGACCTAGATCGGTATAAAAGACCTTTCTAAATTAATTATCAACAATGTTGTTTCCAAAAGTAACCAGCGAGCGCGAACAAATTACGCCGTTGATTTTTTTATCCGCTTACAAGTTACTGGCTAGTTAGGGATACCTCACAAAATGGACAACTGGTTAACATTGATGTCCATTAGTCATACATTTATTTCTCAGAGCCGTGACGGGTCAGGCAAGCGAGGGTAATCGTTTGAAACACAATTCTACAAGAGGGCTAATAGTAGCCAGAGAAGGTTGCATTCTTTATCAACGAATCTAGACAGAATATATTCAAACCTACGAACATAAATGTACAAAAGACACTTAAATTGACGACTTGGTTAAGTTTGACTTTTAAACGCTTATCTTAACACTTGTTTTCGATAGAAAGTAAAATAAACATTGAGTGAACCTATAGGTGGGGGGAGGGGGTAACGCGCAAAACGATTCTGTGATATTTCCACGCATGTTAGTACAGTAGCATTTGTCCTGCCAAAATACTGTACACGTGAGTTACTCAAACTTGCCGCTATCAAAAACTGCAGCCCTTAAGCGCCGGGCACAAAGAGAAGGCTACATACCTGATATATAAAATCTATATGTAACACAACAATAATATATGCATAGTCAAGAGCTTACTTACCGACCGCTGTTGTTTGCGAGGGCTGGCAATTTGCGATGGCGGCCCCGCTCGCCGATCCTCGGGTGTGGGTGGGGTGGCTCACACCACGCCCGGCCGCCTTTGTCTCCCCGGTGGCGATGTTTACACACCGTACTCATTTGATGCCGAGTCGACCTCGGAGTGTCCCAGGACCACCTCGTACAATCGTCACCCGTGTTGGCCGTGAGCGGGAGTCGCGAGTAGCTCCCCACGCGCCGCCATGACAGTGCCGCCACCAACACCACGTGGCCCCCACCTGGGTCACGTGCTCAGGCAGCACGCGCAGCACAGGAGAGTGAGAATCTGACGGCTGGGCGCAGGGCACGTGGTAATACGATCCCATTGTTGTAGCGTAGCGGCCCTTGCCAACATGGGACGCGTTTGGTTGATCGGCCTCCACTTGTTTCGGGAACATGTTCTCGTGTTGCGAACAAATTGAGCGTTATAGCAGACTCTCGTGAAGGAGAACGCTCGTTAAGCGAGACGCGCCTGTGGTTGGGAAACGAAACGACGTGAATGCAAATGTTGCAATGAAACCACAAATATACAAATGAGCGATCAAATCACAGCATCCGTGAGAGATGGTGTGTGCAAGATGAGTTTGTTGAAGTTGAACTGCCGGCTCCACTCAATTTCCAAAGTGTCTTTCCACTTGGGCGAAGACTCACCACCTCAGCTGCCTGGACGCACACTTCGCAAGCAATTTACCTGATTTCGACGTGAAAAGGTGTCACTAGGCACGAAACCCATTTCAATGCCCAGCCTAAAACAATGGATGTGACCGCGGCTGAAACGAAACAACTCGCTGAAATGTCACGTGATTAGTTTTTTTTTCTCACGGAAAAGAGAGAATCCGCAAACCCCGACATCTTAACGCGTGCCTCGAAACCGATGGTGCCCTTTGCAAGCATGTAGTGTACACGTGAGTGAGCGCACTGACTTTGGATGTGACCGCTGAAGGTGGGATGTGCAATGTCAGCCACACCGCAAGATTTTGAGAAGCTGTGTCGCATGCCTCAAGCAACACGCGTCTCGACACTCGACCTGGTGAGTCCAAATTATTGCTTCATTTCTTTATATATAAAAATAATAATATTTGTTGTTCTATAATACCGACACAAAATTAACGTACAGAATATCCTGTCACTTGAAATGTTTTTAAATTATGGTTATTGTCAGTTTAATAGGAATTTTGTATTCAAATAGGGTCATATTGCAAAATTGTTTTGAAAGTGCTGCTATACAGTGCGGTTAAATTGCAATCTTCAGAAGCGAATATTAGTGTAATTGATTAATTGCAAATATTGGAGGTTATTCCACACAATCAAAATATTCAAGTTGATCTGTGCAGAGTCCCAAAGACGCCAAGCGTCCAGCAACAAACAGCACCATCAAATGTCAAAGGAATGAGACCCACGTGAGTATTGAACACATCGAACACAGAGCCTAGGACGAGAGTGGGCGGGGCAGAAGTGGTGGTTACATCGAGTTTCCCCCTCCCAAAGGAATGTGGAATATTGACCACCTTGCTGAGATGCATACAGAATGGCATTGCACCCCATGCTCGTTTGGAGCAGCAAGACTCAGATTTTTCAGTTTATGCCAAAACACACTTTAATTTACAAAAGCAAACCTTACAGCTCATTTGCGAGTCCACTGCTGTACAAGGGCCTCCACACACCGTGTCGGTCATTTTTGTTGTTCGACCATACTTTACCATGCTGCTCGGTATGGGTTGGGGGGGGGGTACAGGATCTGTTCAGATGTCACCGATGTCAGTCATGGCCAGGAATCAAACTCAGATGGCGCAGTGCATGAACCACTGCATCATCACTCCATCCATTATCTTGGATCCAGCTAAAGGTAAAAACAATTGCTGTAACATTTTTTTGTTGCAGCAGGAAACCATGAATAGCGAATACAGTACTATAAAGACAAAATCGGTAGCACACGGATACCTTGAGTTTGCTATATCGCAGGTGAGTTCGTTGTCACATTGTGTTTGATATGCCGTTATGTGACACGCACTTGCGAGATCATATGGATTTGTTTTACTGAAATAATGTGTTTTCATGGTGAATTCCTGATTTAGACCCTACCCCGCCCTCAAGCTGGGCGATGGGTCTTCATCTTCTTTCGCATGGCTAATGTAGACGCAGAGCAACAACTGCAATCTCACATTCAGGTGGTCAAGCCAGACAACCGCGCCAAGAGCAGTGGAGTGTATCATCACTGAGATGTCTCTTTCGTATTTGTGGATCGGGCGTTGCGTCGTTATATGCTGTACGGACTGTTCTGGATGACCACAGTCACACACTACTGGGGAGTTTTTAATTTTCCACTTATGCATCAGGTATCCGCATCTACTGCCGTGGTTTGTGCAGTGGATACAGTTTAGGGTGGACCATGAGCTTCGTGGAAGATCAAACCCTGGGATCTTCTTGCGTTGGCTATTTCACAACAAGGCGGTGTTTGTGGGCGATGGGTGAGGGGCATGTCTAGTATGCGAGCCTGAGACTGCGAGCGCAAGACATTGAAACGTCTCCTCGTGGTACATGCAGGCAGTGGTTTGCAAGGCTGGCACGACCCGGTTTTATTCATTCCGGCTTTAATCGGTTTTTATATAAAACCGGAGCACCTGGATCCTGCCCAAATCCGGTTTTATTCGGTTTTATTAAAGTGAAGTCGGGATTTCAGTCGCACGCACCCATTAGCGGCGTTCGGGCCGGGGCCCGGGCTCAGCCGCCGTGCGCGTGAGTCACGCGCACGGCGGCGTGGCCACGTCGACCGCCGCTGCTGCTGCTGCGTCTGAGCGAAACTTCTCGACGATGGGATTGATCCATTCCAAGTTGAGGAACAGCCTGGCGCCCAGCACAGTCGAGAAGCTCGTCTTCATTATCGTGGCCGTCGCCCGGCGACGGCCACGACAACACCGAGTCCAGCGGCGAGAGCGACGACGAAGACGACGCGGCGGCGGACGACGACGACGAGGAGGAGGAGCAGGATTGAAGTGTGCACGAGACGCCGATAATAAAACCAGGTTTTAATCGGCAAAATCGGGTTTAATTCCATTAAAAGCAATAACCCGATTTGTCGGGCAAAAAAAATCGGGTTTTTCCCACCCTTGAGTGGTGGTGCTGGCCTATTTGGTGACCCCGAGCAGAAATGGTTTTGCCCCTACCCCTTTCCTATCCATAAACTCATTGTGAGGCGACACGGAAGATGTAGCAGTTTTATATTGAATCACTTTTTAAAATATTCCTTAGAAATTGAAATCGAGCTTAAATTTAGTCGACCTCTAGTGTCCTGAGTTCGAGACCCTGCATGATTATACAGTTCTATTCTATAACGCGGTAGTTGCGTTCCTGAAGAACACCGCGTTATGGAAAATCGCGTTACAATAAATAATGTACGGGGTGCTTAAATTGTTTTAATACTTGTGAGAATGTGCAACAATACCACAAGAAATGTGCCTCCGGGCTCTGGAGACCACCTAGAGAAGATTCCAGGCATGTGTTGACAATGATGGCGAGCAAGTGGAGACTCTTTGACTTTTTGCAGCTATTAACATACATTTCTTTATCATGTTACAGTGTATTATCCGTTCTTTTTCCATTAAAAACGATAGTCCCATATAAGTGTTAAAAACATGTTGAAGCACCCTGCATAATATAGGGTAAAGCAATGTCTGCGATAACACGTGATGTGTGTACGCAGCCTGAACAAAGACTGAGGCGTGTGGGTAGCATCAAGAGCATCCAGCAGCATCCCACCTTGTGTGATGCTACACCGAGGTCGCCTTACAACTGCTTGTTCCTACTCGCGCAACGTAGTTCTGTTCACTCGATTGCTTTATAACCAATTCGTAAGCGCGTTATAAAAATGTGTTCCCTAATACATTCATAGAATTATATCCAATTCGCCTTATGAAAACACGCAGCATTACAGAACAGGGGTTGCGCAATCAGAGGGGAGGCTGGGCGCGCCGCTGCCTCACCTCTCGTCTCTTCCTGTATTTGCAGCGGAGCTCCGCAAATTTGGCGACTTTGACTATAAAAATTTTGGAATAGTACAGAAATGACATTTATAACACAGATCAGTGGGAAAATGTAAATTTTTATTTGATTATTCTTTTTTTTCGTAACAGCTATTCTCATTGGAGTATGACAGGTGAGGCTGTGCCTCCCCTGACCGCACGTCCCTGCGCTACACGCACATACAAGTGTATTTGATTTTACATTGAGATATGCCGTGCTGTATATAAGTTGTTGATCCTTGTTATGGAGGTGGTTTTATTGGAGACTAAAGAGAAGCCATTGAGTTTCAACAGCTCTCTGTGCCACCCCGCCCTCTATAACCCTATCTATTGTACGAATTTACAAGAGCTTGCCATCACATGCCAAGCTATTGTAAATGATAGAGCAGCTAAGCAGTCCGAGGGGCCCGAAACGCCAAATTAGAAGATTGATCAGGTAAAAAAAGTATTTGTATTGTTTTAATATAATATAAACTACTTTAGTTTTAAAATGACTCCTTGTTGATTGAATTTCGTGGAGATTATAGAAACAAACTTACAGCCAAGCATACAGATTAGCCACTTATAGAGTAGATGCCCTCCAGTTGGCCAGTGGACCTCCACTAACCGATACATTTCAAATAAACCACCCCACCTCAGAAACAATTACGGCGTGTTTCAAGGTACCTACTGAATTTCCCTCTGACTACACAGCACGATAGCATGATGCATGAAAGAGCCATTGTTATCACGTCTCACATGCCGACTGTAAATACTTTTTTTCGTAACATTTTTCACCTCGTGCGCATCACTGTTTATGTGAATAAACACAAAGTCAAAAACACGGTTAAAATCAAAACAATTACAAGAGCAAATTTTGATTTAAAGCTTTCGTGACTGCAGTAATTCATATTCTTAGCTCTTTCGGTAAAGTCACGTTGAAGGGAAACAATAAAATAATAATATATATAAAACAATAAAAAAAATTCTCACGACGTTTCGACCATAACACAAACGGTCGTCATCAGGTGCGTCGGTTTGCATTAATTTATTTATTTTTTTAACGATGTATTTATGTATTAAAAAACGTCAGCGCCACGCGCAGCGATTTGGCAGTTTATTTAGAAGGACTAGTCCATCTATGTTCTGAAAAGAGGGGGGAGACGAAAAATTAATGTATGCTGTCTGAAAGCCAGTGTAAGCGTGACCAATCAATTAAGACCTGAAATGGTTTATGGTTTATCGTCTCCCCCCTCCTCTTTTTCCCTTCAACGTGACTTTACCGAAAGAGCTAAGAATATGAATTGCAAGAGCACTTTAAAAAGGAGGAAAAAACCTCCCGCCTGCCCTGATAAGTCCGGTATGCCCGATACCTTAGATGCCCCTTGGAACTGCTGCCCGGAGTGTCAAAATATTGCAATGTATGATGCGAGGGAGGATGTGGAATAAAATATTTTTCATGAATAAAAATTTGGGCCAAAAAAGAAATGGTCAAATATCCTCAAGCAGTGCGGTTCACGAGGGATGTTTGACCATACTTCACTCAGCTTGTCAGTGCTGTTTAACAAAGGGGGCATCCAGGACCAGTTCAGATACCACTCTGCACTGCTTTTTAGCGGTGGCCGGGGATCGAACTTGCTTCGCTGGGTTCACAGCGCAATGCACGAAAACCACCGCGCCGTTCATCCACCCCCATCTTCGATAAACAAGGGGTCATCGTTGGCTTTAGAAACGCAGTGTAAATATTGTGCTTCGTCTTCTTTGGTTCTTTCGGTAAAGTCACGTAGAATGAGAATAAAATAATAAATTGATAAAATAACACAATAATATTCTCACGACGTTTCGGCCACAACACAAGCGGCCTTCATCAGGTGAAGGGACGAGACTGTCTGGTAGGACAGCGCTGGAGTGAGTTGTGGCCGAAACGTCGTGAGAATATTATTGTGTTATTTTATTTTATCAATGTATTATTTTATTCTCATTCTACGTGACTTTACCGAAAGAACCAAAGAAGATGAATCATTGCAGTCACGAAAGCTTTAAATAGAAATTTATTGTGCTTCGGTTAAACGCAAATCAACTGTAGGCAAGTGCTATTTTTTAAAAGCTGAAGAAAACAAGGCACTTTCACAGCTCGATTTAAAAACACGACCCAACGCAAAGGCGCCGAGGAGGCTCGCGCGTTACTCGCGTTGGAACCTCGCTCGCGGCACGCTCAGTGGCGCCGATTCTCGTCCTCCTCCAAGAGGTCCTGCTCGATGAGGACGTCCTCGTGCTCCACGAGGCTGCCCTGGCTGATGCACGTGGCCACCGTGGAGGCGCTGCTGACGTGCGGCTCGCTCGCGTGCACACAGCACGTGACGCGCCTCGTCACGTGCAGGGTGCGCGCGTGCACACAGTGCGTCCCGGGGACCCGGGGGCCCTGCCACGCGTGCTCACGGTGCACAAAGCACACCGACCTGAGACTCTCACCACACTACCACCAGCGTATCGCAGTCGTCTACGGTTGGCCACGTACGGTGCTAAAGAAGTTCAACGTACGTACGTCTCTACTACTATCCTCACCACTGCCATCGTTACAAAGATGCTTACCACCATCGTCGTCAGCCAATTCCTATCCCTCCTCACCACCCCCATGATGAGACAGCCAATCTCCGTCTCTCGTGATCGTCATCCAACGTCAACCATCTGCCGAGACTTGTCATCGTAATCATTGTTACCCAATGAATATGTATGTTGAACTTCTTTCACGCCGTACGTAGAGAACGTGCTAATCGGGGGTGCGGGGGTAGGAGAACAAACTAAATAGGATTGGTTCAAGTGTCGCTCACGTTAGCCTTGGCTGAGAATCAAACTTAGGGTCACGGGGTTTTCATCAGTGGTACGTGTTAAATGCTACTGTACTGCTCCACCCAAACAATTACAGCAACAAAACTTATTGGGTTGGTTATTTATGCATATCATGATGTCTTAAAGTGAGGTTTGTGTTTATATTATGCTGATAAAACGATAGCGGTATAGAGAACGGATCAGAGAATTATGTCGATTCACTCACGCGCTTTACTGCAGTGTTAATTTCTTCATCGGGATGCTGTCGGTAACTACCCCCGGAACAATATTCTGCCTTGACCAAATCTTTTTTTTCTATCATAGTTGCTTAGCACAGGCCCAAAATGCCCATCGGCCATCAACAAACAGCACTCCTGAAGTTGAAAAAACCGAAATATATTTCTTGCATTGAGCGAGGTTACAAGATCTTGGGAAAGAGACGATGGGAGGGAATGTCGGCGTCACGGTCCAAATTGTGCAAATTATCTGCAAAAGCCACTCATTGGGAGAAATGCACAGCAACATCACCCCCCCTCCCACTCCCCCCCGCAAAACTCCTGCGGGTCTGCGAGACAGAGAGAATTGTATCGTCGCTTATTAATGCTCGTGGCTGGCGATCGCGAGAGTCGGCGGAGTGGCGCTGTGGCCCTCCAGCTGCACTCACCCTGGGGGTTGTAGCAGTCCTCGGCCATGCAGCTGAGCTGCTGCCCGGAAGGGCGCGCAGCGCTGTGCGTGTCGGGGCGCTGCACGCGCGTGCGCCACACGCCGCCTAGCACCGCTAGCACGGCGATGTGGGCACGCCCATCTGTCCCCAGCCGCTGCTCACAAACAAGCAGAATATTGATTTATACTGGAGGAATCCCATGAGCTATGAAGCTCTTTTTCACAGATGTCCAGTTAGGGGCGGATCAGAACGTTACAACCACAAATAATACAAAAACACGACAGCAGGACAAATTAGGGGCAGTTTAAAACAATAGATATAGTTGGTAAGGCCTTCTGAACCATGAGCGCCCAGGGCATCATAAGACGTGCCATGCTTGGGGAAGGTCTTGACGACCCCATCGATTTGTTCCATGCTTGTGATCACTTCAGAAGGTTTATTTGATACGTCTTCATTATTAATCTGTTGTTTATTTTGATAATGCTCCATATTTACTACTTTCGTAATCGTATACAAAATACATTGCGCTAATTATTTTCGTTCTCATCATCAGCAGCCATGTTCAATCCACTGCCGGATGAAGGCCTCCCCCAAACAATTTAATAATCCACCGAACACGAGCACCTGTGCGCGAGCCGATGTCGTCGCTCCATCTCCGCAGTGGACGTTCTCTGAGATGCGTTTCATTCCTTGCCTGCTGCCACTATCTGTCCTCAACACGGATTTTGTGGTTCCAGAGGATTTGCTCTCAGTTCGCTTTCACACCCCCCACTTTATACTCTACATCACTATGCAAATGTATTTGAGTGGCGACATCCTTTTAAATGGTTTGCTCCTCTCGTATTACGATATACATTTTTTATTTATAAAACACCGGATCTCATGCGCACACGCGCACAACTCGCGTAAGCTTTGCGAATCAATGCATCAATACACACATACAAGCTGTCCCTTTTGTCGCCGTCAACCTGAAGGTGTTATCGCAGGTTGTGCAGTTGAAGAGCGCTCCACTCCCCCACTCCCTGTCCCGTGGCACTGGCTGGTACTTCCTGTTGCAGCTCCTGCACTGGGATACCTGCACAGCAAAGACAACGAATGATCCACACCCCGATCAGCAACGGTGGAAGCAACATAAGTTGTTGTTGGCGGTGGCATTGCCGCTCGTTGGCAAGGTTCACGATTCATCCCCGTGGCCACCCTGGTTAATGCCGTGGGTGTATTACCAGAAAATATATGCCGTATGCTCCACAGTGGATGTGACAAATCCCGTGACGCGATTAGGAAAAAGAGTAGCCCACGTGCACTAGGGTCATGGTTCAAATAAATACAAATATTTGCAGATTACCCAATTGATAAAACCCATAGAAACATTTCGGGCAACTGGCAAACTACTCCCCACTTGCAGCCTGGGGCTGTGTTCACCTTGTGCCATGTGGGGACAGCTGCCATCAGGGGCTCCCCTGGGCTAAAAATAAAGTTAAGTATTGGAATGATTGAGATGAGATGGAAGATGCGAGTTTCTGAGGCAAGCACCTTATAAATGGAACTGCAAATCCTACTCTAGCTAATTTATATGAGGCAAGGTTCCAACTCACTGCACACTCACTATTGGCGTTCACCTAAGGCAGGGGTGGGTTACCTTTTTTCTGCCAAGGGCCATTTGTATATTTATAACATCATTCGCAGGCCATACAAAATTATCAACTTAAAAATTAGCCTGTTATATTTGGTCAAACATTTAATTAACTCGCCCCCTAATGTGATGGCTGGAACTGCTTCTCTTTGGCGAGGCGTGTGATGATGTTAGCTGGTATTGACGATGTTGCTACTCGCAACTGCTTTTCCAGGTTTGCTCCTAGATTTATTGAATTTCGAGTCCCGCCTACGGTTGCCTTGGCAGGGCCAGAGACCAAATGATTTCGCGGGCCTCATACAGCCCACGGGCCGGACGTTCCCCACCCCTGTCCTAAGGTATGGGCTTCGAGGGAAAGACTAGTAAATAATACATGACGGGAAAAAAGGGAAAATTAGTTCAGTGACGATGAAAGATTTGAAAAGAGAAGTGGAATGAGCAGTGTGGGTGGCAGGTGGAATTACTTCTAGACAGTGGAGGCAACAAAGGAGAAGAAGCGACAGAGTGGGTGAGATTTACTGGAGAAGATGACAAATAAGCCAATTGGGAATCAATTCATGATTGATCTTGAAACAGTGAGGGCAGTCTTGTAGCTGATCTGGCAGTGGCTTGGCAGCCAGTGAAGAGATCTGAAGATTGGGGTGATGCGCTCGCACTCATTACACACAAAGTGCTTGCCACAAATGAACCACAATACCTTGCTGATTTCGTCGCAGTGGCTTTTGGCTGGCCATCGAACAAATACGCTCACTGCATTGCACGCTTTCAGATGCACTTCTGCAACCGTCTGGAATGCTCTGGCTTCCGATATACGGAAGCCACTGGAGCTATGCGCTCTTAAATCAACTCGATTGGAAACTTTTTTTTAACTGAGAATAAAATAATAAATTGATAAAATAACACAATAATATTCTCACGACGTTTCGGCCACAACACAAGCGGCCTTCATCAGGTGAAGGGGAGATGAAGGCCGCTTGTGTTGTGGCCGAAATGTCGTGAGAATATTATTGTGTTATTTTATTTTATCAATTTATTATTTTATTCTCATTCTACGTGACTTTGCCGAAAGAACCAAAGAAGATGAATCCTTGCAGTCACGAAAGCTTTAAATCGAATTTTTTAAAACTGCTTTTTGTGTTTAGTTTGTTGTCCTTCCCCCGCACATACGATGAGCATAGTTGGCTTCATATGGTGCAAAAGAAGTTCAACATACATTTATAGGCGAGTTAAAGCATGGTGCAGATGAGTCTTGTGATGGGATTAAAGTTCAGACCATTTTCCGCTGTGGCACGCGTCTCCACCACACGCTGTCGCAGACGCTGCAACGCAAACTGGCAGTCAATTCTAGATTTGAAGCTTTCGTGACTGCAAGGATCCATACTCTTTGGTTCTATTCGGTAAAGTCACGTAGGTAAAAAATAAAAAATACAAAAATCACGACGTTTCGGCCACAACACAAGTGGCCTTCATCAGGTGAAGGGACCGTGCTGTCATGAGGACAGCGTTCGAGTGAAGAAAGCCAAGCGCAGGTCGCCTCCTTTAAGCTGTGAGGGGGTAAACAGAAAACGCCTTGAAAAAGGAATTAGCATAAAATGTACTACTGTGAAAGCTTGGAATAACCATAAAATTACATTACAACACCGTGAGAGTTTGGAATGCCACTACTTGAATAAATATACTGTACCATTGAAAATTTGTTTAATGTTTGGTTCGATTTAGAACATCTTTCCAATGGTTGCTTAATTTGAAACCATCTTCTCGGTGGAAATTGTGTCTGTGTTTGTAAATCTGAATTGCTTCGTGGACAAATATCTGATAATAACCCGTGGGTTTGCAGAGGACCTTGGTATCGGAGAAAACTATATCGTGATCACCCACAGGGTTGTAACCGTGATCAGCTACGGCAGGATTCGTTCTGCCGTGTTTCAAATCTGATTTGTGCTCGCGAATTCGGTCAGAGACATGTCGTTTTGTCTCCCCGATATAGGAGTCACCACAGGTGCAGATCAATTTGTAAACCCCGGGGTACTGTAAGTCAGGAATGACATCCTTCACGGAAAGGATCAGGTCACGGATTTTGTGTACTGTATTGAACCGGACCAGGATCTTGTGTTTGTTTAGAATTTTGGAGATATTTTTAGTAACGCCTGCTATATATGGTAGTGTGATGGTATTGATCGGAGTATCAAGTGGTTGTTGCTGTATGGAGGGAGAAACAGCTTGGCGGATGGTACGGTCAGAGTATACATTCTTTTTGAGGGCCAGAGGTACATGTTTTAATTCACTGGTCAGGTGGTGTTGGTCCGAAATGCAATGAGCCCTGTGGTATAACGTTTTGATGAGAGAATTATTTTGCGTCGGGTGGTGGTGGGAATCAGGTTTCAAGTAGGAATCTGTGTGGGTGGGTTTCCTGTAGACAGAATGTCCCAATGAGCCATCAGGTCTCCTCTCAAACAGAACATACAAGAATGGCAGCTTGCCATCTTTCTCCACTTCCATGGTGAATTTGATGGCGGGGCGTCTGGCATGAATGTGGTCTAGGAAAAGGTTCAAAGCCTGGAGGCCATGTGGCCAAATGATGAAAGTGTCGTCTACATATCTCTTCCACAGGGAAGGTCTGAGGGTGGAAGTCTGGATGGCGTCTGATTCAAATTTCTCCATGCAAACATCGGCTATCACTGGTGACAAGGGGGAACCCATGGGGGGACCCTCATTTTGTTTGTAGAAGGTGCCATTCCAAGTAAAGTAGGTATTGGTGAGGCAGTGCCTAACCAGCGCAGGTGTATCGGGGTCTAGTCCATGTTGGACCAAATTTTCAATTATTCAATGGTATCAGGTACTGGGACCTTGGTGAACAGAGAGACCACATCGAAGCTGACAAGGATATCGTCAGGGGACAGTACAAAGTCTTTGACCATAGAGACCAATTGGGCTGAGTTAAGTACAGCTATTGTTATATTCATCGGCATGTTGAGCCTCGTTTTAGTTTGTCACTGTTAATGTGACATATTATTGAGGGACTGTGTGTTAGCTTGATGTGACGTTTTCCTTTAACGTGCATTCATTGACAAAGATATGACAGAGCATAGAACAGCAAATAAAATATATTCAAATATATTGACTAGAAACCCCCCATTACTTATTTAGGAACTACCAATTGATTATTTTGCATGACGCATCAAGGCTGAGTACTTGTACACATTTCTAAGTGTTGTTTTTAAACATATACAACCACTTGCTATAAATGTGTAAATGCAGTGTTTTCTAAGTGTTCACTAACCACCAGATCCGCGCCTTGTTCAGCCACATAGAGAATGACTGCTGCAAGTCCTATGATCGTTATGAACAGGAAACGTGCACACAGAAGGATTAGTGTCCTAGTACTTGGAGTAATTTGTGGAGTGGGCAAAGTAGGCCTTTTGGATTGTAGCTGGGATGCTGTGGTCTGTTCACTAGTTGCCCAGTCTTCAGATGTGTTTTCTTGTGTTGTCTGGATGAAATGTTGATTGTATGTATCATTCAAGCCTATGAAATGAGACGTAACATGTGTATAATATCAAAACACATGCCAAATCGTGATAACATTTATTTTGAAAATGCTCTATATTGATCAATACTGGGAACTCTTGGATTAGGTCGCATAAATGTAAAAGTGTTGTACACTGACCTCCAGTACTGTACCATTGGAACCTCCTTTGCCAGTAGCAAAATATAAGTCACATTTTTTTGTGTCAGTTTTGACGCCAAAAGGCGCCGTGCGCCTTTTGGCGTCATCTGGTCCAACACCATGTGAGACTAGGCTTCTAAGGAAAGCTGTCTCGGGTGTGAACCAATCAATTTCAAGGATAGTGCATAGATTATCAGAGTTATGTTTTTTGTTTGAACTCCGACCGCAGGTATTGTGGTCAATGCAAACATGACTCCTTGTAAAAAATGTGTCAGTTTTGTTGCCAGATAAAAGGGTAAAAAAAACAATTATCACTCCAGTAGTGTTAAATAAATGGACAGTGAATAGGCCTTAAACAAGGCCTTGTTACAATAGTAATAATGTGTATTTACAAAATGACCATTGCAAAAACGTTACATTTATAAAATTGGTGATAGAGTACAATGGATTAATTCCTACAGCTGTTTGAGATATAAATGTGTTTTTATATCGAAGCATCATTCATGCAAACAGCATCTCACAACTCTGCACAACACATAACACATGGAGCGGCATATATATTCGGATGTTTTCAGCCAATTAATGAGTGATTACACGTGTGGGAGGAAACCGGGGCTCCTGGAGAAAATCCACCCATGCGAGGACGCAACACTCGATCCCGTACAGATGGGACAGATGGAGATTAGTCTACTCTTGCTGTACCGCCTTCTCCTGGCCAGTCAGGGTACTGCAACCTCTACCCTCACGGGAAGGGAATTTCGCAACATTTGTCTGACCCACCAACCCTCACTGG